ACAGAAAAGATCTCTCTGCACCATTTGTCTATTAGGGCCATCCCTGAGTGGGGCTGAGGTACAGCAGCAGGATGATTTTGGCTCACAGCAACTTACTGAGCCAACTCTTAGGTGAACCAGGTCTGTATTTTTATTCTCTTTGGTCACAGGAAATACCCTTTAGGGTCATACATAAGGTTCAGGAAGAGCCAAGATGAGTCTGGGCTACCTATTCATGAAATTTGAATCCTCAGATCTCAAATAAACCATTTTTGCTCAAGGATGGATTGCTGTTGTAGCAATTCGATTTTATATCTTTGAAAATGGTGGTTACTTTGTTGCCAATTTGTCTAGATTGAGGTGTTAAGGTCTGTAAACAAGTCAAAATAACACCTGGTATTTTGCCAGGGGAATGTTAGAGTTTGTAAACAAGTCTGGATGGTGCCTGGCAAAATGCCAGAGGGAGTGGTTTGAGAAGTAACAAAAGCGAGCCATTAAGTGTGGAGATTCCTTACTGGTTGACTGATGTATCTAGTTTATGTTAATTAGATAAGCTGTGTGGAATGTATAAATAGCTCTGTTGTCCTACAATTAACGGCTCTTACTCCTGCTGTATCAACATACACAAGTTGTTCGTCACCCCCCCCCCATTGAGGGGTGCTTAGAAAATTGATAAAGCACACTTTTTGGGGTGTCTATGAAGGTGTTTCCAGAGAAGATTGGTTATCTCTGAATGCAGACAGTACTGTCCAAAAGGCCAAGGGCCCAGATGGAACCAAAAAGCAAAAGCTCATATGAACACTTGACACTTATTGAGCAGGTGCTTTATTTTGGTTGCTGCTGTTGCCTATGGATGTCAGATTCTTACCACTGTTTAATGGTGACAAGTCCTTGTTTCCCCGAATGCTGAAGTATAACACCAGAGAAGCACACCGAGTCAAGTGTAGAGTGGAAAGTGGAAGGCTTTATTAAAGAACAGCAGAAAAGTCTTCTTCCCAGAGGAAGAAGGGGACCCAAAAGGCGGAATCTGTGGAAGGGGGAGGTCTTCCCTTTTTAAATAGCTAAAGTCTTCTTTTAGTTTTCCCACATTCATGTCCTTTGTTTCCCTTTATCTTGCAGTGATAGAATGCAGGTGGGAAGGCCCAAAAGGTGGGAGATGGGTGGGCTGAAAGAGTAATCTGGTTAGGAAGGGCCTGGGGTGGTTTGATTAATACCTCCCTGCTTGCTGGGAGCTGTTTCATTAACAGTTCCTTAGGATGGGTTCTGGGTCTTGGGGACATTAACATTTCAATTTCCCCAAGTGCTGCTCTGCTTTCCTGGACTCCATTCTCAATAATGGTCTCCATTTTCTTTATCTAACTCAACATTAGACCCGATTTACCTAACTACACTACCTACCTATCTGTAAATCTAGCTTCAAGATTCTATAATTTTGAATGCAGGCTTGCCCTGGTACTTCCAAGAGCCTTCACTCCCAAAGTGGGGCTGCATCATTGCTCCCTCTTGTTCTGGGGCTTTCTTGCTTCTTGGACTGAACAGTTACTATTTTTCCTAATTCTCCAGCCTGCAGACAGGCACTGAGACAATTCAATCTCTGTAAATCAATTTAAGAAATTCCCTATTATAATTACATATATTCTATTTGTTCCATTTCTCTGGAGAACCCTGAGACAGTGGATCTAACACTACCAAGCTCAAAGGTGGGTGTGACTGCATAGTAATTTGAAGTTGCAGACAGGAGTTCAGTCTCTACTAGGACCCAGTATTATGTCAGAAGCTGCTTTTCAAAGGGTGAACAATTACCTTCTACAAAAAGAATGTTCTTGCTCCAGAACTCATGTCTACTTTTTTATTGGGAAGAGTCTCCCACACACCCAACGTTGTGTTTTCAAGTTTCTGGTGTGAATCTCTGAGGTGTGCTTCCTGCAAACTTTATTACAATCCTATGAGCAGCTCTAATATTATTACTCCCTATGCCAAGATAATATTTTCTATTTTATTATACATCAGCCAGAAGATAAAAAATAAACTGTTACTCCTATTTATACTTTCTTAATGTGCAAAAAAATATAGAAACCTGAAAGTGAACCAAAACATGGAGACAATTCACACATCATGCTTTGTATGAACCTAAACTGGGAAACAAAAGCACATGTCAACAGGAAATGGCTTAAAATTATAGTTCCTCTGTATATCAAAAAGTTATGATACGGTTCTAAATATTGTACAACGGTATGAACATATGATCTCATGTAGTTTAATACACAGATATATGAATGTCTATTTCTTAACAGCCTCAATGACATACAATTTATATATAGTCCATCATCAGTATATAGTTGATTTTAGTAAGCTTATAGAGTTGTGCACTGTCCCAATCCACTTTTCAAATAATCTGTCACTACAAGTAGTTCCCTTGTATCCACTTACAGTTATACTTCCACCCCTCATGTCTAGACAATCACTGCTCTATTTTCTCTACGTATATATTTTACATGTGTTGAGATTTCCTGGAAAGAAACATCAATAACAATGTTTACTTGGGGAGTCTAATTGGTGGGGAGATGGATGAATGCTTTTCTCCTCAAAGTTTTTTTTCTTCTGCAGCCTACATATATAGCCTTTACAATTAAAAGATTTATCTACTTTGTTCTTTACCCATTATTTGTATAGCTATTCCCATCATCTAAATAAACAATATCCACCTTTTATGGTCCATCACTGTGAAACCTTCTTATTTCTCCAATAGTAATTCTGTACTTTGTGAAATCTTTCAGGGACTTATTATGACTTTCCCTATTTTATTGTATGCAAGTATTATATTTTATCATATAACCCAATGAAAAAGAAATACAAAACATCGTTGTATACTTGTTATGGTTGGGGAAGGTGTGTAGTTTGAAGACTTTAAACCATTTTGACCCTCTGCTATATTATACATTTTTTTCTAATTATGTCATAAATTATTCTACTCTAGCCTCATTTTTTAGAGTGGTAAACTCTATCACCAGCTTTTTACTGTCTTGCATGGTATAACACAAAATTAGATTTCCAAATAATGTCTCATCAAAAGTAAGAGCAATATCTTGTTCCTCCTCTCAACTTGTTCCAGTTTGCAAAACTCTTGATATTTTTAGAGGAATCAACAGCAGAAATGTTTGATATTTTAGGGGACAATGACATTCAAGGATGTGGCAGTGGACTCTGCTCAGAGGATGTTGTTCATAGATTCGATCTGAAAAAATACAGGGACTGGTCTTACTGGTAAGTTTTATTAATAGCTCATAATCTTTCAGTTAGACTATTTGAGACGTTAATTTTAAGAAGGAAAACAATAATTAGGTTTTTAAAGTACTTCACTGATTTTGGTCTTTTGAGTTTAGGATCTAATTTTTTTCTACCTAGATAATAGAGGAGATAAGCAATTGCATTGTGCTGCTGCTGAAGCTTGATTCTACTACCCCTTAAACAATATGAAAAATATGGGTTCAGGCTTAATTCTGGGATAGTTTGTCAGCACAAATAACAGAAGTGTACTCTGGTAAGGAGCATAATAGCACACTAAAGATTTCCATGTCCTAATCCCAGAACCTGGGAATCTGTTAGATTCCATGGCAAAAGGAAATTAAAGTTGTAGATGATATTACAATTATTTATTAGAGGACTTTAAAGAGATTGTCTTGGGTTTTCTGGGGGCCTTAGTTTATTCAGAAGGTCCTTAAAAGTGGGAGAGGAGAGGAGAGCTAGTCAGGGAAAGATGTTACTATGGAAGAAGAGGGCAACACTACTGGCTGTGCAAATGGAGGAAGAGCCACAGACCAAATAATCTGAGTACCTTTAGAAGTTTGGGACAGGCAAAAGAGATTCTCCTTTAGAATCTCCAAGAAAGAACACAGCCTATTGACATCTGAGTTTAGTCCAATTAAGACCCAGAGTTATATCCTGAAGATCTATGATACATTTGTGTTAAGTTGCTAAATTTGTGGTAATTTGTCATAGCAGTGGGGAGCTGAATAATGTTCCTCTTCCCCAAAGATACCCAGACCCCTAATCCCTAGACCCTGTGAACGATTTAAAAAAAAAATCCTGGAAAACTTATAAAAATATATATTAAAAAAATCTTTGTACATATGTGATTAAGGATTTTAAGATCAGGAAATTATCTGAATTAACTGGGTGGGCTTTGCATGTAATTACAAATAGTTTTGTAAGGGAATACTTATAAGAGGGTAATAAGAGGGAGATTTGACTTTCGTATTAGTTTAGAACTTTCGACAAAAAGCCAGCATCATTATTTATTGGGAATGTCTCCAGTAGTAATCATTTGGGTAGATTAAGACATGCTTCTTGGCTTAAGAAACAATTTGGGACCCTGAGCTACCCTATAGTAAATACATTTCTAGCACACATAATAGTAAGACATTTTATTGACCTCAGAATGTCTGCAACTAATGACAGACCTAAGGCTACAATGTTTCTCCATCCTAGATCTCAGAAAGTGCTTTTTTAAAAAAATGAAGTATTAAGACTACATATAACTGAACAAAACCACAACCATTTCCCATTGCAATTGATAAGTTTCTCCCAATTCTAGTTGCCAAGGATATTGTCAAGGGTGAAGTAACAGTCTTTCACTGTACTCTTTCCCATTAATCCTTAGAACTATCTTCATATATCATCAAAAGCTCCTTTTTATGTGTGTGTGACTTTCTTATAAGGACCAACAGTTTAATATTGAATATCATCAACAATATTGCTTGGCTTCTCCCTAATAGAACTTCATTAATAAATCAGATGAACACAAGTATGCTACAGATAACATTTTATGGACTAGAGAAAGATGAAGGTTACATCAAAATAATAAAAAACATATTACCATACTAGTCTTTGTATTAACTTCAAACTCTTACGGCTTCATTTTGGGAATCTGGAAAAGATCCCTCAAACAGATTTCTCTCCAATATTGTTACATCATTTAAAGAATAATCTGTGACAAATATTTTCTTATATGTGTGGGATTCCCTCTAGCAAAAATTCATGGATGCTGAATGAGTTCTACACTCTGACTGAAGGTTTTCTAGTATTTCTTCCTTTTCAGGATTGATCTCTAGCATGAAGTTTTTGGTGTTTAATAAGGTTTGAATGTCTGTTGAAGGTTTTCTTACAGTCCTTACACTTGAATGGTTTCTCTCCTGTATGAATCATCTGATGTCGAATAAGGGAAGAGCTGCGGTTGAAGGATTTTCCACAGTCAACACATTCATAGGAACTGTCTCCAGAATGGAGTCTTGGGTTTTTATTATTGTCTTCACTCTTACACAAGGCTTTTCCACTTTTATTGTCTTCATAAATCTTAGCCTTAGTATGAATTTTTTTATGTTTTATAAGGTTTGTATTTCGGTTGAACAATCTCCCACATTCACTGCATTTATAGGGTTTCTCTCCAGTGTGAATGATCTGATGTCGAATGAGGGATGAAGTCCTGCTGAAGGCTTTTCCACATTGATAACATTCATAGGAATTCATTTTTGTGTGACTTTTGGGGGATTGAATAATATGTGTACTTAGATTCAAGGCATTTCCACATTCATTATATTCTAAATGTTTCTTACCCACTAATTCTGAATTGGATTTGAAATTAGTTTTAAACTTGTGTTCTTTTGTGAGACCCTTTCTCATAGCAATTCCCTGTTGTATATCCCATATAGAGCTAACTGAATTAAAGCTTTTCTTATTTTCATTACATTCAGAGTCTCCCTCCTCTRTGCAGACAGTTTTATGATTAGAAACCTCTTGCAGCAAACTTACGTTCTGATTTTTCTGGATTCCATGTAACCAATCCTCACTTTTCCAGTCTTCCAAGAAAGGATGTTCACTTTTGGTAAACCTTGTCATATTTACTCCATAGGATGATTCTTCTGTAGAAGCCCTCTGCTTAGGAACTGAATCTTGATCTTTTGAAACAGTTTCCATGTCTAAAAAGAAATACAAAATTAGATAAAAAGAAGTAAAACTGCTTAGTGAGGAAAGAGAAGCTAATTCACATAATGTTATATGTATGTATTGTTGGTCTTAAATGCAGAATGTAAATAAGAGTGAGGATACTTATAGAAGGTAGTTGAATAGAGGAGCCCAGTATTCATGTCCTCTTCCACAAAGAAAATCAAAGATACCATGTATTTGTATTTTGAGGTGAATGACTATGGAAGAACACTGGAAATCAACAAGAGAGCTTGGATCTTGTAAGATTCAAAGACCTAGGTCAAGAACATAATAAGAGAAATTAAATACCTGGTCACATGCCATAGCTGGGGGGAAAAGTCTCCCTTTTGCAGGGTAAAGGTGAAAGAGTATCAGCAAACTTTTACCAGTGTAAATGCTTGGCAATTCCAGCTGCAATAGCAGCCTCACTTTGGATTGAATATCACCTAATCTCTCACCAAACCCTAGGTTGCTGTATCCAGGAGCCATCTTGAGAAAGGAGCTACTGTTTGAATTTGGAATGCTCTAGGGATCAGAAACCCCTACATGTTCCCTCTGGGACCCCACAGACATTCCACTTTTATCCCAAATCAGCCCCAGTGATACTGCCAAATTTGACAAATATTTATCAACTCAGCCTAATTAATCTAATTTTATATCAGAAATTATCATTTGCACCATAGCCAAGCTAGAAGCTAGAGTATTAAATCAATCTATTGAATGGAGCCTAGGAATATACAATGGGATTTTAATCCATTTTTCCCGTCTCTGGCTCACCAATGTATGCAGAGTGTGTAGGGGCTGGCCAAATGTCATTTTAATATACAGATCTTCAGAGAAAAGAGAAGAACCACTTTCAAACCTGTACCCAATTTAGATGATGAGATTCTGAACTTTACGTCTGATAATAAGAGGTTCTTGGGGTCTTGGTAAAGAGTACATATATTTTACAAGGGGGAAGAGTATGGATGACTTGTGGACAGGACAGACTATGATAGAACATAGCTACACATTCTTTGCCACTTTTCTGATACACAAGTAGAGACTTGATCCTGTGTCAGCTTAGCAAACAGAAGATTGTAGAAGTGATATTATGCCACCTGTTGACCTAATCTTTAAAAGACTTATAGCTTCTGATTCCTCTCAGGACATTTGCTCTCAGAGAATCTGGCCACTGTGCCAAGAGAAGCCCAAACCTCAAGGAGAAGCCATGATAAGTACTGTGTCTATCGGACCAACTATGTTCCCAGGGACAGTCAGTATCAACTTCCAATCATGTCATGTGCTATTTTGGGCATTCTATCTCATTAGAACCCCAAGACATTGCATCCCCAGCCAACATCATATGGAACATAAAAACTCCTCAGTCAACTTAGAAAAAAAATGGGAATAAAATGATTGTTTTGGGATTATTTGTTAGAAACCACAGATAACTAAAACAGTAATCGTTTTGTAGCAGTATTTAATAGTATCATTCATAATTGTATTTCCCTAAATAAATCTTTGTTGTTCTCATATTTGTACAACTCATTTTTCAGGTAACTTTTTCATTCCTATTTTTTTAAATGTTTATTAGTTGCCAATGATCTTTATTTTTTATTATTTTTATTTATATGTGGTGCTTAGAATTGAACCCAGGGCCTCACATATGCTAGGCAAGCACTCTACCACTGAGCCACAACCCCAGCTGCTTTCAATCCTATTTTTAAAAATTAGTCTGACGTAATAACTTTATCCTATGAAATCATCAGATAATGCTTGAAAAATTGGTACAACCTAAATATCCAACAGTGGTTGTAGGGGATGATTAAAAATATAACTTGTAAAGGAACATTAAGTGTGAATCAGAAAGCACATTTTCATAGTTTATTTGGTAAAATAGGTAACTGGTCATGATACAAAAGGTGAAAAGAACAGGATATAAAATGATATATTCCTCCTAAATTCTGGAAAAAAATTGAAAACTGTTCCATATTTTAGGAATAAAAGAAATTTTCAGAAACCACAGATCTGCATCACAAAGAAATGGCTTTAAAAAATTCAAACCAACATGTTAATATTGTGTAACTCTGGGGTCTGAACTATATTCCTTTTTAATATAATCTTACAATAGTTTTACACTATTACAAAGTGTTAATAAGAAAAGATTATGATGTTGTGGGAGTTAAAGGACAAATTAAGAAGTTTTACAAAGAAGGAAAAGTGGATGATTACTAAAAGTCACTCTAGCATAAAGTGAAGTTTTATTTTCTTCAAAAGGAAGGATAACATTCAATGTTAGTTGATTAATGGTTGTTATTTAGCACTTACCATGTACTAGGCAATGTTCTAAGTGTGTTCCATGTATCAACTCATTTAATCCTCACAGTAATCTGGAGGGAGCTACTATTATTAACTTTTAAGTTACAGGTGAGAAAACCAGCACAAAGGTTGCCCCAAGCCACCCAGCTTGAAGTTGTGGTCCTACCCATGACAATATTTTGCCACACAGGAAAGAGAACCTATGAATAAAAGGTAACGATGCTTTTTTAGGTAAAAATTTTGATTACACCCAGCTAATAATTCAAAGGCAGGTCACTATCTCTAGGTTTAATAAACCCTAGCTTCTTACAAATATATCATATCTGCCTGGTTCTTACCCCAAATGGTCCTTCTTGGGACTTCTCCCTCCATTATCCATCTTTCTTTCTTACTCTCCAATTTGGGGATCTCAACTGGTTTGGAAAGTGGATGAGCTGTGCATAGGAAAAATAAAAATGACAACAAAAAACATATAGACACTTAACACATTTTTATAGGAAAGAAAAGACAGTAGGTTAAGCTGCTGAAGGAGAAGGCCAGAAGAGCACCATGTCTGTATATTTCTGGCTGTATATAGAAAAGGACTTTCAACCACACAAAGTAGGAAAATGTGCTATTGAGCCCAAAGGATATTAGGAAACCTGAACCCAGACCCAAAGGAACATAAGGACTCTACCAGTTCGATAGCTTTTCACAGTAGAAAAAGAGATTACTAATAGAGTAAATAAATACATAAAAACCACCTTTATGCAATGAATGCAGGTTCCTATAGTTCTCCAGCATCACATCCCTGTAAAGGTTCTTTACAGCAGGGTCCAGTTGCCCCCACTCTTCCTTGGTGAATTCCACAACCACATCTTTGAATGTCAATGGTTCCTAAAACATTTAAGTTCTTTTTTAACCAAAGGTTACCCCCAAAAATATTACCCCAAAAGGAATGAATTTGGAGAGAACAGGGAAGAAGTCAGACTATATAAGAAATAGGACGTTTAGGGTTCTAAGTGATGAATATGAAGTTGTAGCAAGGGTCCATCAAATAAATATATATATATATATATATATACATACACACATATATATATATATATATATATATATGTATGAAACAAAACATTACAGAGCACCAAGAATTCATATAAAAGTTTAGGATGGGAAGAGTTTCAGGCAGATTCAAGGGGAAATTGTAACAAAAATGTAGGCTCTGCTGAAAGAGATGGGATGTTTTCTCTAATTGAGAAATGTAGTCTAATTCCTTATCATTCAGGTGTCACAGCTCAATGTCACCCTGACAAGATTGTCTGATAATGGATTTGTCTCTACTCCATCCTGTTTTTTTTTTTTTTAACACTCCATTTTATTTGTTTATTTTTATGTGGTGCCAGGGATCGAACCCAGTGCCTCACACATGCTAGGTAAGAGCTCTACCACTGAGCCATAATCCTGGCCCCATTCTGTTTTTATTCTTTGTAAAAATTATTACTATTTGAAATACTGTACTAGCTTGTGTTTACCTGCTACCTGTACTAGAATGTAATCTCCACAAAGTAGAGATTTTGTTTTATTTCCCAATCATATTCTCAAATATGTGTTAGTGAATAAATTTATTCTTGTCTCTCTAGCACCCTCAACCTTGTCATTATTGGCAACTTTAGTCACATGGAAATACATAAATCTCTTCCTTTCTCCTTCAGAGTCAGTCTGTCTACATTAATTCTGCCTAATTCTTCACCTTCTCTTCTTTCCATAACCCAACACAACCTGGCTTCTGTCCCTGTGCACATTAGTCTCTCCATGATAAGTAAACAGACACTGCTTAGGTTGTATTTTTTTTAAATTTTTATTTATTTATTTATATGTGGCACTGAGAATCAAACCCAGTGCATTACACATGCTAGGCAACCACTTTACCACTGAACCACAATCCCAGCCCCCTAGGTTGTATTACTGACTTTTTAAAGCATTTTTTCCTTTAAATATTCTAGTACTTTGACCCTCAATGATACCATAATTTCCTAATTTTCTTCTGTATCTTTGCTTTCAGTATCCTTTGAGGTTTCTTTTACTCCTGTATAATAAATGACATTGCTCAGGATTCTACTCTTGGACCCCCTTCATTTTTAATTCTAAACTTTCTATTTTAGGCTCTTGATTTAATTATCATCTATCTTCTTGAGGGAACAGATGCACAAAGAATATATGAGGCTAAAGAAAATATTTCCAGAGTGTATCACCAACTAAAATCAGTCCAATGTCCTGTGAAAGAATAAGAGACTAACGCCCTTGGATAGAACCATGTTTGAAAAAAGTTTAAAGATAAAAAGTAAAAGCAGGTCACATTTAAAAAGAGCATATATTTCTAGCAAAGAGTGGAACCCTACTTCACCTGAGGCTTCCCTGTTAGTGAGTCAGCTTCCATGTTCTCCTTTGTGCTCCCATTTTGAAGGACACAGTTCTCTAAGGGTGTATCTGAGGAAGATGAAGGAAAATATTAGGGAGGAAAAGAAGTTTTGCCTGGGAGTAATGTTTAATGATTATAGTAGTAGTTTTAACATGTTAATCATAGGAATCATCTGAAGATTTTTGCAAATATAATTGGGCCCTACTAGCAATTAGAATCCCCAAGAGTGGAGGATAAGAGTATTGATTGTAACTTCTGAAAAATTCCCAAAGTGATTCTGATATATCATCAAGGGTTATGATCTACTAGATCAGAGCAAAGAGGGCCCAAGATAGTATTTTCAGACCTTATCTGTTTATATCAGATTTAAAAAAAAATAGCTTTGATCCTATCATTACTAAAACTTAACTAAGGCCTAGCTACCACAGGCTGTTAATTCCACTTGGAGCTAAAAATATTTTATTTAATCAATCACTCCTCCACCATACTGAGGAAAATTCTATTTAAGAGTTGTTTTCTATTAAGCTGCATAGATGAGGCAGTCTGGTCACTTTGAAATACTGATTCTTTAAAGGAAACAATTTAATGAAAGTAATTCTCTTCTCTAGCCCTTTGATAAGTAGTAGAATCATGGGCTACTAAAGTTTCTCCAGGATCCATGAGTTATATGGCAATCCTCAACTGTCAGACTACAGAGTTTTATTGGTCTGAGATGAAGTTTTCATTGATTTAGGGTGAAATGAGAAAAAAATAGAAACAATGTGGTAAGTTTGTTATAACTTTAAAATTATTCAATTTCAAGGGCTGTATTTTGATGTTAAAATGTCTTAGGTAATGATAATGGATTTTATTTTAACATATTGTTGAAAAAAATAGAGTTGGCAATAGTAGCAATAATAACGTAATACAATCCACTATAAATTATGACCCCAACTCCTCTGAAACTGTTCAAACTAAAGCTTAAAATTCCTCCATAATTAACGATTTCACTAAATTTTCTTCAATACTTATTTTAATAGGAATTTTTTGTTGCACCACTGTTGAACATTTCAACAGAAAGAACATTTCTTTCTTGAAGACTTTTTTTTTAGCTCAAAAAACTAATCTTTCTTGGTTCTTTGTTTCATTATTCTTTTCTAGCCTGTTTACCTGGTGTGTGTTATTTTTCTCAGTTTAATTTATATCTTTTTTCTAGATAATGACTGAATAGGACCATAATACCACAATGACCTTGGAAATAATTCCTTTTCAAATATCCAGTCAGTTGCTCATGTCTTATAAGGTCCAGATATTCACAATACTGGGCACACATCTTTTTAAGTTTCTTTTAATCTCTAAATACTTCTGCCCTCTTAGATAAGTGGATTGTCTTATAGTTTCTCACAGTTTGAATTTTACTAATGACCTTAACATGGTAGGTTTAACATGGCCTCTATCCTCTGTACTTACTGTAATTGGTACTTACATCTGGAGTAGCTCTTAATTATTGATGCTTCCTGAGGATTTGTATTTCTCCTACTTCTAGCTTAGCTCTATTTCCAAATCTTTCTGAATACTTTTTGTTGTAGCATTAACTATATACTGCTTTTAAATTGTGGATCGCCCACAGGAACCTCAAATTTAGCACATCACAATAATTAAATGTATTATCCTCTCCACACACAAAATTCAACACACCATATCATTAATGCATTAACTTCTCCACACACAAAAAATTCACTACTTATTTCATTCATACTAGCCAGAGCACATTAGTATGTATCAAACCTTATCCTACTCTTATATTTTACCTAGACGTAATTCTTTAGGCTTAAACTCTTCTGTTTTGCTAATGTATCTGCATTCTCTAATACCTAATCTAGTACAACAATTTGTTTTCCTTTTTTTCAGAACCCTCAGGTTCTATGGGTCTATCCATTTCATGAGAAGTTGGTATACATTTCCTATTCTAAAGGAATAGATAGAAATATTTTATGTTTTGCAGGCAATACTCTCTACTATAATTACTCAACTCAGGCCATAGCATGAAAGCAACATAGACAAAATGTAGGAAAATGGACATGGTTATGTTCCAAAACAATTTCATTTCTAAAAATATTTGGCTCGTGGGCCATATTTTTGCCAATCCCTGCTCCACATTCTTTTATTTTGGTACCAGGGATTGAACCACTGAGCCTCATCCCCAGCGCCCCCCTCTTTTTTTTTTTGAGACAGGGTCTTGCTAAATTGTGTAGGGCCTTACTAAGTTGCTCAAGGCCAGCTTTGAACTTGTGATCCTCCTGCCTCAGTCTCTCAAGCCACTGGGATTACAGGTATGTACCACTGCACCTGGCAACATTTTTTTAAAGGCAAACAAAACAGTGTTACTCCCCTACCCAATCTGTGTTCTAATGCTCTATTTCTATTGCTTACAGATTAAAGTTCAGGCTTGCTAGCGGAGTAACAGAAAATCCTAATAGAGTGATACAGAAAAGAYAGTTTTTCTTAATACAGGACGGCCAATTACTCGACCTAAAATTTTCTAAATTCTCACCTTTGTCTTTGAGTATTTCAATCACATCTTCTATGAGAGTCACCACATCTTTGCTGTTCTTGGGATACTGTAAATTTATCCAAGCCCTGACTTCTTCAGGGAGGATTGTCTGGAATTGTTCCAGCACCAAAAGTTCTAGGATTTGCTCCTTTGAATGAATCTCTGGTCTCAGCCACTGACGACAGAGGTCCCAGAGTTTGCTCAGGGCTTCATGGGGTCCAGACACTTCTGAATACTGGAAATGTCTGAATTTTTGACGAGACTCCTCAGAGTCATATGTTTCCATAGCAGTAAGGGTTTCCTGATGCCAAGACATATCTGTTCTTAGGACCTCACTTTTTTCATGCAGAGTCAAGTTTTGGGGTTTTAAGATAGCCACCAACTTGTTAAGAGGCTGAATCTTCCTAAATAGAATGCCTGCTGTAGTTCAAATCTGAGGATTCCAGTACTTTTTAGGTTTGGCTAAACACCTGTTACTATAGGCAGTATGATTTGAACCAGGTTATATCACAGTAAGAAGAGTTCCAGGAGCTTCAGTGTAGAAATCAGCTTCCCAAGAGACTGAAAAAAGACAAATTTGACCCATAGATGGTAAACATTTATTAGCATGTTGTTGAAAGGTAAAATAGCATAAGTAAAAATTATTCTTAAAATTACCTAAAAAAATTATGGATTCTCTTTCATTTTTGTTTTCCTTTCTTAGAATAGGAAAATATGAGTATGTCTGCTCTCACAACTCCTATTTAATATAATACTTGAAATCTTAGCCTGAGCAATTTATCAATGGAAGAAAATAAAAGGGATACAAACAGGAAAGGAAGAACTCAAATTATCACTGTAGAAGATATGGTCCTATATTTAGAAGATGCATAAAAGCTCCAGAAGACTTTTAGAGCTAGTAAAGTATCAATATATAAAAATCAACATACAAAAAAATTATTAATACACTAATAATAAATTCAGTGAAAAAAATCTGGAAAACAATTTCATTCACAGTAACCTAAAAAAAATAAATACAATTCCTAAGAATAAATCTAACAAAGGAGGTGGAAGACCTCGACAATAAAAATTATAGAGTACTGAACAAAGAAATTGAAAGACCTCCCACATTCATGGGTAGGCAAAATTAATAGTTAAAATGGCCATATCGCCAAAAGTGATCTACAGATTCAATACAAGCTCCATCAAAATATCAATGGCATTCTTTATAAAACTGCATAGTACTGACATAAAAATAGACACATGTATCAATGGAACAAAAAAGGGACTCAGGAACAGACATACTCATTCGATCCTTGACAAAGGTGCCAAAAACATACATTGGAGAAAAGACCATCCTTTTAACAAATGGTGCTAGAAAAACTGGTTATCCATATGTAGAAAAATGAAACTATATCCATATCTCTCACTTGCACAAGAGTCAACTTGAAGTGGATAAGGACGTAGGAATTAGACCAGAAACTTCACAACTGCTGGAAAAAAATGTAGGGTCAACATTCCAATATACTGGCTCAGGCAACAATTTTCTCAAAAGGACTGCTAAAGCTTAATTAGGAAGTTGGATGGCACCAAATCCAAAAGCTTCTGTATAGCAAATGAAACAAGAGTATGAAGAGAATGGAAGAAAATCTTTGCAAGCTATTCTTCCAGCAGAGGTTTAACATCCATAATATATAAATAACTCAAAAAACTTAACAGCAACTCCCCCTAAAACTCAACCAATAAATGCCCAGACTAAACAGACCTACTTCTCAAAAGAAGAAATACAAATGGCCAACAAATAAACATGTTCAAAATCTTTAACAATCAGGGAAATGCAAATCAAAACTACATTATGATTTCATCTTCCTCCAGTTATAAGGGCAGCCTTTAAGAATATAAATAACAAATACGAGAGAATGTGAGGAAAAAGGAATACTTCCACATTATTGCTGGGATGATAAATTAGTACAACAACTATGGAAATCAGCATGGAAGTTCCCTAAAAGGCATGGAACCACACATAACCCAGCTATACTATAGTGATACATGCATACCCAAGTTTATAATAGCACATTTCACAAGCCACATTATTGGACCAGTCTAGGTGTCTGTCAATGAATAAATGGATAAAGAAAATGTGGTACATATGTATAGTTAAGTTTTATTCAGCCATAAAGAATGAAATTATATCATTTTTAGAAAAATGGGTGAAACTTTAAAGCATTAAATTAAGTGAAATAAGTAGAACTCAGAAAATCAAGCAAGGCTCCTATGCTTTCCCTTTTATGTGGAAGCTACAGAGGAACAAAGAAAAAAAAAAACCAGGGGGGTAAGTGGGTGTTTCGTGAAAACAGAAGACAGACCAGTAGAAAGAATTAAGGAGACCAGGGAGAGGAGGGTAGAAAAGGAAAAGGGAGATACTAGGAAATGAAACTATTGTGTGCACATGTGAATATGTAACAACAAATTCCACTATTAAGAATAATTATAATAAACCAGTAGAAAAAATATAGGTTAAAAAAAAAGGCAAATACACTTTCTCTGCCCCTCAAACACAACCCCACAAGATAAACAAATATAGATAAATGACATCTCAAAACAAGTGATAAAAGAAATGGTACCTTGATCTTAAAAAAAACTCATAATTTGATTGAAATTAGATTGATTCTATAGCAGATAACAATTCATTAAAAAACTGAGCAAAACAAATTTTCAGGCAGGATATTAAGGTTAAGGCTTCAGAATAGATAGATGTCATCCTAATCTCTTATTAAAATACCAATGAGGGGCTGGGGTTGTGGCTCAGAGGTAGAGCGCTTACCTCACACTAGGGAGGCCCTGGGTTCAATCCTAAGCACCACATAAAAATAAATAAAATAAAGTTATTGTGCCTACAACTAAAAAATAAATATTAAAAAAATACCAATGAAGTTATATGAGTGAAAAACTGGCAAAATAGCACTAGAAATTAAGACACTGACACAATTATTAAAATATACTAGGAAAAAATCCATGAACCATTTCATTATTAGGGATAAATTAAAAAGTGAATTCCCAGACTGTAATTTACATTTGTTTAGACTTAACAAGGGGCCAGACTGCAATGCCCACCAAGGGGTCTTAGGCTCAACTAAACATTTAGACTCACAAACATTATCACAGGTCACATTTAGTTCCAATTTACTCAAAAGGTAAAAGCTTGGTAGCAGAGGAGTAAAAGAGATTTTTTTTTTTTTTTCCAGTGACAGTACTCAAGAGTATACCTCAAGTGCAAAGGAGATAGGACTCACATAGGTCACACAGGAAGCACCTTGGCTAAAAAGCCTTACTCACAAGAGCCAAAATCTCCTATAACAACTCTCTGAGCCTCAAATAACCTGCCAAACAATAGGAGTGACTTCATTCAGGGAAGTCCAGATACAGCTTTTTATTTGATTTATAGTTCCCCTAATCCAGATGCAATCTATCATTCAAGGGGTCATTTTTATTATATCTTTTAGGCCAGGGGTTCTCAACCAGAGATTTTGCCACCAGAGGAGATTTTGCCACCAGGGTATATTTGGCAATGTCTAGAAACAGTTTCGATTGCCACAGTTGTAGGTAGTTACTGTCAGCTAGGTCAGCTAGTGGGCCGAAGCCAGGAATTCTATTAAATATCCTCCAATGCACCAGACAGTTCCATATAGCAAAGAATTATCTAGCCCCAAATATCCATAATTCTAAGATTAAGAAATTTTGCTATAGGACTAGACTACATACTTTGGAATCATATCAATATGAGTTTAAATTCCAGCTGTACTAGTTATGACATGTACAAACTTGAGCAAATTATTCGAACTCAAGTTTTAGTTTTCTCACCTGTACAATGGACAACAATATCTATCTGATTGAATTATAAGGATTAAAATAATTCTCATCTCTCTTCTTGGCACATGTAAGTGTTTCCCTGGCAATGCCCACCTCAACAGATCATTATTCAACATAAATAAAAGATTAGAGAATAGGGTTGGGGAAGGACACTTGGGGGACTACAAAAGACAGCCAGAAGGGTGAGAGGACTCACTATACTTAAAAAAAGAGCAAGAGAACATTTGAGAATATGACTTTCTGTTAAAAGTTTGGAAATGAGTGTAATCTATGAGGTCAAAGACAAAGAAAACATACAATGTTCCATTCTAGTTAATATAAAGATTTCCTACAGGGGTGGAGGTTAACAATTCTGATAGTAGTATATGTGTATATTGGAAATAAACAAATAGGAAGGAGATGGTAGAAGACCATTTTAATGTTTAAGTAGGAATTTGCAAATAATCAAGGGATAGAGCCTAGGGTGATTCATCGGGTAACTGATTAGAATTGGAGACATAATTATGAATTTGTGATTAGCATAACTTAGATGAAGATGGTTACATATATAGAAATATTTACAGATATATGTATATATACAGCCTAGTATAAACACACACATGTCCTTTCTCTTGGAGCTGAATAAGCCTAGAAACAAGGATACTCTTCCCAGATCTTGGTTTCTTTCTTTTCTTTTTTTTAGAGAGAGAATTAATATTTATTTTTTTAGTTTTCGGTGGTTCGGTGGACACAACGTCTTTATTTGTATGTGGGGCTGAGGATAGAACCCAGGCCGTACGCATGCCAGGCGAGCGCTCTACGGCTTGAGCCACATCCCCAGCCCCCCAGATCTTGGTTTCTAATACAGTTCTCCAATAATAAGAACCAGGGCTTCTTGGAGAAATGGCTGATTTCAGACTGGATATAAAGATGCAAATGGAGCATCTCGAAGTGCAATAAAGAGCAGCTCAAAAGTAAAACAAACCCCAAACATTTATTGGAGTATGTCAAAGATACCCAGAGTTAAATGAAAGAGTTCCCAGAGGCCAAAGTAGAATTATATGAGCAAGAAATTAAAAACTGGATTACAACTCAAACTATAAAAACACCCATAAGCCATACTGCTATAAATAAAAACTTATTGAATGAATAATTGAGGGAGAAAAGATACATCTTCTAAGTAGAAGAATTGCAAATAATTTTTGCAGATAGCCATCCAAGAGATAAAATGTAACTTTTCCAACTCTTATGTGTGGGCTATACACAGTGATTTCCTTCCAAAGAGTATAGTATGGAATAGGAGAAAAGTATATTTACAGTAGAAAAATCTGACAAATACTATACCTTAGTCAGTTGGTTAACACCAACAGTAATAAATCATGTTGAGAGCATGCACTCGTGACAATGTGATGAAAACGACATTTTGCCTCTGTGATCTTCCTACTCCAAACCCATAACCACATCTACTTATGAGAAAAAGGTCAGACAAATCCCAACAAATGGGCAGCTTATACAATATTTGACCAGTACTCAAAACTATCAAAGTCATTAAAAAAAAAAAAAAAAAAAGATCTGGACAACTCCTCTTGTTATAGCCAAGAGGAGCCTGAGGAGACATTACAATCAAAAGTAATGTAGTATCCTGGATCAATAAAAAAAAAAAAAATTTTAAAGACCTTAAGTAAAAACTTTAAAAATCTGAATAAAATGTCCCCTGCCTCCTCTCCTCTGTGAATGTAAGTTCCCAAATGGATTTCCCACAATAAGCAGAAAACCATGGATGGAGGCAACTGTCTTCTGTTTTGAAAGAGCCTATCCAGGTGGCCAAAGCTTAAGAAGAGGAGGATAATCGTGTCCTTTCTGGGCCATTTTTTGGTCTTTCCCAACAGGCAATCACTTCAGCCACCCCCAAATAAGTCCTTCCTGCAATGAAGCCCTCCAGAGTATTCCCAAGCACTTCCAATCTTTAACAAAAATCCATCTTGCACCTGTGGAAGCCAATAATTAAGAAAGACTGAAATCTGCCACACTTGTTGACATCCATCACCTTCCTGATCAGGCCTTCTTAAAACTGATTTTAGTTTGTGCAATTATATTGTCTCAGGCCACCATGAACTTCTAGATGGTAAGTTGTCTACCTGTTCTAAAATGACATTACTGAGTCGACCACCTCATGAGGACATAGGATACAAAAAGGTTGCAGTTAACTCAGCCAAGTGCTCTGTAGGTAAAAGGCTGCTTAGAGGACTTGTGGTCCCACCTGGTAGAGAAGATAAATTTGAAATACAACCCAGCTCAAAAAACAAAAACAAAACCCAACCTAACCAATCAACCAACAAAACCCCACAATGCTTGAGGAAAAAGAATAAAGAAGATCTCTCACATTTAATTTATGGCTGGCAGAAAAGTCCTGAAGAGGTATAATTAAGTACCAGGAAACAAATGAACTAGGAGTCTAGGTACTTTTTAAATTAACAGAAAGAGAGGGAGAGAGGAAGAGAGAAAGCTCACATACTCTATATGTCATATGTACAAAGGAAAACAAAAACTAAGGTGCTAATAATAAGGATACCCATTCCTAACAATAAATGTACTGGGTTAAAATTCAAACTCAACCACATAAAAACTTGAAATATCCAAAATAAATGAATTCCAAAACTAAGGGTGGGGAAGGAATGATCTAGAAAATACCAGGCAAATACATAATAATAAAAATTATGCAGCAATATAGTGAATTAAAATATATAATGAATTGAGGGCTTGACGGCTGGGATGTAGTTTAGGGATACAAAGCACTTGCCTAGCATGTGTAAGGTCCTGAGTTCCACCTGCAATAACACACACACACACACACACACACACACGAATAGCACAAATGCATTAGACAAAAAGAAAAATGTATCAAACATACTTGAAGCATATTTATAGCAAAATCCTGAGAAAGCAAGAAATGAAATCACCAATGATAGAATAGAAACAGATTAGGCAATGTTCTAAATCCCTAATAGATAACATAAATTGCTAGTACAGTAGATCTAAKTAATATGTTTAGTTTAATAAGTATGTAAAACCAGATAGAATGAAGTTTCTATTGAAGCACCTATGGGAACATTTACAAAAGTTATTACTGGGCTACGAAAAGAAAATCTTCAATAAATAGAAAAGTAGACAATAGTAGAGACATTTATTTAATGCAAACTTAGAATTAACTTATTAATTGGAAAATTGGGAAAAAATTAAATTACTTTGAAATTTAAAGTTTTGCTTCTAAAAATATCAAAAGTACAATGGTAAAAAAAAATCTAAAATTTCAAGATAATGCTTTTGCACATCAAAATCTAATGGTAAAAAAAAAAGCCTTACAATTAATTAAGCAAGAATAAGATGAATTAAATATTCAACTCACAAAGTGAAAAGAAGCAACAAAAAGGACTGAAGGGAATTTATCAGTTAAAAGGAAATTAATGAATTAGTGTAAAAAATTACGGAGACAGGATGTTGAGGATGATATGCTTGCATTTACGATTTCTGAGAACAGCTTAAACCGTCAGTAAGCAACAAACACTAGAATAAGCAAAACTAAAGACCGTTGTTAAGTTTAAACTTACATTATTGAACAAAGAACTCTGAGGATAACCTTGAAACTCACAATAAAGACAATGAAGCAAAAGCAATACCACTGCAACGGAGGGGCTAGGACGCGCAGGAGACAGGAACCTGGAGGGCTGGATTATATAACCAGGTGAAACAAATTGGATGGATTTTATGGCTTCGTGGATCTTGAGCAGCCACTAATTATGGGGAAACAGTAGTACCTGTGTGTGAAGAGGCAGTACTGTCTGTCTCGTTTTTAATCGAACAAGTCATAAGGCAGGCAGCTTAAGGTAAGAAGAACCTTGAGATGTGATTCTGCTATCTGTATTTGGGGTAGAAATGGGAGTTCAAAACCCAATGGAGTCAAATGTATGAAAGATGATTTATCAAGAGCTCTGTAATGTTTGGAACAATCAAAAAAATGCAAATGGTAAAAAAAAAAAAAAAAAAAAGAACCTTGAGATTAGCTCAGGTAAAGAACAGAGGGCGGTTCCAAAACGGAACGTCTAAAATACGTAAGGTACTGGGAAGATTTAGAAATCGGGGGTGGTTAGGATGGATTGAATTGCAATATAAAATGGAATTAATCAAAAGAAAACTCGTTACTATTTGCCCGAGGCATCAATACCAGCTATTCCATAACCGGCTGACTGGTGAACTATTAGGTTACGTTTCTTAAGACTGACCCGGAAAAGGGGGCCAGCAGTGAAGTTGAGTCCCTGGTTTAGCAGAACTGGATCTAAAACCCAGCCAATCTTTTCCCTCTGCGAACCCCCTTTATCTCGCTCTCTTTAACGCATGTCTTCAGCCTTTCCGAAGCCTTCGCTTACATTCCCTGTTAGCCCGCGAGCACCTCCAGGATCCAGGGCAGAGACCGTCGAGGGCGGGGTGGGAAGCCGGCAAATGCCAAGGAGCTCAGAACTTCGTGTTCCGCCAGGACCTCCTCAAACAGGATTTCCGGAAGATACTTGCCAGCACCGCATCTATCCAGGGCTCCCTTTAGTCAGGCTTTGTACTGATCCTAGTAGATTCGCAGACGTCGCCGTCCTGCCCGTGCGTRTCGCAGGCGGTGGTAATCACGCGGGAATTAAGAACCCCTGGCTTCCCTCCCTTCTTGTAACTCACAACCGCATCTAAAGTGCTGGGACGCACGCGCGCCGGCTGTGGAACCAATGCCCAGAAGCCCCCGCGGCTCCGGTCTGAAAGCGGAAAGGTATCTTTACGGCCCCGCCCCTTCCACAGGCCCCGCCCACTCCGTAGACTTTCGACCTTAGAGCAGCCAACCAATTTATGCTACTCTGGGAGAAATGCWTGGAAACTTTTGGCGACTCCCTACCTTTCCCTGAAAAGTGACCAAAACCTTCCTTCTGCCCCACAACCCAGGCTGCATTTACCTGGAACCAGAAAACAGTGACATAATTTCCACGAGATATATCTTGTATATTCGCATGGTCTTCGTTGATTTGTCGATTCACTCATTCATTCACTCATTTGTTTTTCATCCAGGTGAAAGCTCTTGCTGATCTGAGATCAGTTTTGGCTTGTTGAGTGTGAGATTCTTTGTGATATCCAAGAAGGGCGGTCAGTTAGGTATTTGGATTTAAACTCGTCTGGAGTTAGAGAAGTCAAGGGCAAGACTTGTAAAATCGGAGTCAATTCTTGTTTGGCAGAAATGAACACTATTAATGAGAATAAGATTGGAGAGAGAAGGGGAGATAGGAGAGGAGCAAAGATTGGCCTTTAGGAATATCAGTAACATTGGTTGGAACAGGAAGATGTGCCTGCAAAAAGAAGAGGAGGATCAATCCCAGATGTGGGAGGAAATCTAGATGTAGAAATGCAAAAAAAGGGAAAGTGTGTGTCATAAAGGAGGGAATGCTCAGCAGTATCAATGACATGATAATATGATTAATACTTGAGTAGATGCATGTGTCTGGTGTTGTAAGAGTAGAGAAAAAGAACTCAAAAGTCAGGGAAGACTTCTCACTTAGCTTTAAATCTAGACAATGAGTTGACTAAGGTAAAACAAGATGGGAATTTGGATTTGTTTGCCAACCCACTTTGGACTTCTCACTACCATAAGTAAACACAGATGTCACTCATTTAGTCATCATGGCATCATCATAACATTGAAGATAGAGATTGTCATTCCCAAAGTTACTGAAATTGAAAGATGGTAAAGCTTGAGTGCAAGTTCAGATCATTTCATATTTTCCCTACTGATACCACTCTGTACTTCATGATTTAGATGGCCATTATTAATAAAATATACAGAATTGTGGAAGAGTATTTTCTAAGATTAGAGTATGTGGTGTGACATGAATTGTTTGTGAAGGGGTTGATCTCTATGAAAGTCATAGCTAGACAAAAACAAAATTTTTGACTTGCCAATGTTGCCAGTAAACAAGCTAAAGCATCAGATACAGTCAATTAAAAAGCAGGGAGAAGGAAAAGGCACACAGTAGGAGGGAGAATAACCAGCTTTCTTCCAATATCTCCTCTAAGAGTGGTGTTTCTGACCAGATTATCTTTAAAAGTCTACTGAAGGTTTGACCTTGCTCTCTATTTGAACAAGGGTTATTTTCAAGTTGCAGTCATGTGACAGCCCAGTTATTTTTTTAATGGCAYGATTTTAAAAGGTTTCTCTCAATATATGATTAATTACAAAGGTGAAAAACCCTGAAGACATGTGGAATTATAAGGTGGGTTGAATTGTTTGCTACACATACTATTCCATTCTATCATCATGAAATTCATAACTTCTAGATTAGAAACTGTATTTTAGATAAAAAAATACAGAGAAAACCTGAACTGACCCAAGCCAATGGTTTTCTTAGATCACTAATTCATTCAGCATGTTTTTATTGAGAATCTGATAATGTGGCAGATATTATACTAGCCATTGGAATGTATTAGTAAACACAACCAGAAGAGGGCTGCCTTACTGAACCAAAAAATTGAGAAGATAGAGAATTCCATATAACCTGCAACCAGTTTTTCCTATTATTGTTATCTTTCATGATTATGAAAGATGCTACATTTGCTACAATTAATAACGTGGATAACCCTATTATTATCCAAAGTCCAAACATACTTCGTTCATACTTAGTTTGTTTTTTTTACCATTTGTACTTCTTCTGCTACAGGATTCCACCTAGGATAGCCATTACATTTAGTTGTTGTGTATTTTTCGGCTTCTCTGGGTTGTGATAATTTCTCAGACTTTCCTTTTTTTTTTTAATAATCTTGACAGTTTTGAGTGTCTCTGGTCAGGTATTTTGCTGACATCTACCTGACATTTTACTCATGGATTATATACATTTGGGGGATGAAGATCATAGGGATAGAGTGCCATTTTCATCACATCATATTAAAGGTACATTTTATCAACATCACTAATTGTCATTGGTTTGATCTTAATCACCTGGCTAATGAAGCATTTGGCAGCAATTCTTTTTCTTTCTTTCCTGAAGTTGTAGTGGATGTAGTAATATCCAGTTTTCAGGCTTAGGATCAGATGCTCTAGCAACAGTCTCCTATTGGCAGTGTAAATAGTGCCATCTAGTGCTGAATGATAATTTCTACATCATATACAATCAGAAAAAGGAGAAGTTGTACTCCATTTATATATGATGTGTCAAAATGCATTCTACTGTCAGATATAACAAATGAGAACAAATTTTTTAAAAAGAAGAAATATCTCCAAGTAGAGGGGTTGGCATTGTGGCTTAGCAGTGGAGCGCTCGGCTAGCACATGTGAGGCCCTGGGTTCGAGCCTCGGCACCACATAAAAATACAATAAAGATATTGTGTTCATCTATAACTGAAAAATAAATATTAAAAAATTAAAAAGGTGCAGTTTTGGAGCTATCCGGAATGGCTATTCTGATCTTTGTTGATAAGGAAAATGGAGAACCTTGTACTCGTGTGGCTCCTAAGGTGGTGCTGAAGCAGGCGGGGAGGGGGGCTGGGGAGCGGGTGCCTGGGCCTGTTAAAGCCCTAGATGGGAGGTCTCAGGTTTCAATACCACTTGTTGGCAAAACGTTTGATGGTCCACCAGCCGTACCTAAAACCGTCAGAAAGGCTTTGGGAACTGTCAACAGAGCTACAGAAAAGACAGTAAAGACCAATGCACCCCTCAAACAAAAACAACCAACCTTCCCTGCCAAAAAGATGACCGAGAAGACTGTTAAAGCAAAAAGCTCTGGTCCTGCCTCCGATGAGACCTATCCAGAAATAGAAAACTTCTTTCCCTTCAATCYTTTAGATTTTGAGAGTTTTGACCTGCCTGAGGAGCATCAGATTGCTCACCTCCCCTTGAGTGGAGTGCCTCTCATGATCCTTAATGAGGAGARAGGACTTGAAAAGCTATTGAAGCTGGGCCCCCCTTCGCCTGTGAAGATTGCTGTCATCACCATGGGCATCTGATCCGCTGCAGTCCCCTTCAAGCATTCTGTCAGCCCTGGATGTTGTCTTGCCACCCRTTTGTTATGACATGGATATTTAAATTTCTTAGTGCTTTCTGGTTTGTTTGTGTTAATAAAGCATTTGTTTAACAGGCAAAAAAAAAATTTTTTTTTAAATCTCCAAGCAGAAAACCACACTATTAACTGTTTGAAATACTACATGTTTAATTATAACATATTCTTGAAACACATGAAACAGTTTGCAGGTATTAAACTTAATTTGAGCTTTAAAAATACAACAAATTTTTCTTTGGTTTAAAATAAATCCTTCGTATATCAAACACATAAAGACATCTTTTTTTATAGTTAGATATGGCCCTTTTTCTTTTTTCCTTTATTTATTTAGTTTTATGTGGTGTGCTGAGGATTGAACCCAAGGCCTCACGCATGTCRGGCAGCTAGTCATTAGACCAGAGATTATTGTTGAACCACTACACAAAGAAAAGACCACTGACTCTAATTTTAAATCAAATTAAAGCAAGCTTGTACACAAGAGCTGGCCAGTACTGTCGCTCCCAAACTTGGGCTAAAGATCAGCACCCTAGCTCTCCAGGAAAAAGGTTTTATAGCACAAAAAGTTGCAAAGGGGGGTGTCTTGAGAACTTACAGTCAACAGGATTTTGACAAGCATAATACAAAGGCAGATAGTAGGTTAATGGTCTACATGCCTTAACATTTCAAGGTAGGGAATAAATTTAGATCCCAACATCAGAATTTATGAGGCATCACTGAGGTTTCAGTGAAGATTGTTATCTGGTCAGAGGGAGCCAGGCATGGGTGAGTTCAAGGCACAGGCAGGAATTCCAAACAAGTTTAGAAATCTCAGTAAATTATAGTAAAACAAATTAACTTTTGATGACTTTGTGATGAGATGGCCCCCAATCTTAAGATGGAATTAGGCTGGGTTCATCAATCATGTGCCTGCTGGAAGGAAAAGTAGGCCCAAATCTCAATCATGTTAGCTTAGGAATCTCTCAACAAGACTCCGAAAGCAYAAGAAGTAAAATCAAGAATTAATAAATGGGAATTTATCAAACTCAAAATCTTCTTCACAGCAAAGGAAACTATCAAGAACATGAAGAGAAATCCTACAGAATGGGAGAAGAACTTTGCCACCTGCACTTTTGATAGAGCATTATTCTCCAGGATATATAAGGAACTCAAAAAACTTATCACCAAACAAAATACATAAATAAATAAATAAATAAATAAATAAATAAATAAATAAATAATCCAATCGATAAATGGGCAAAGGAACTGAACAGACATTTCACAGAAGAAATGAGAATGGTCAATAAATATATGAAAATATGTTCAATATCACTAGCAATTGGAGAAATGCAAACTAAAACTAATTTAAGATTTTATCTCAGTCTAGTCAGAATAGCTATTATCAAAAGTACAAGTAACAAGAAATGTCTGCATGGATATGGGGAACAAGGTATACTCACATATTGCTGGTGGGACTGCAAATTGGTGCAAYCACTTTGGAAAGCAGTATGGAGATTCCTCAGAAAACTTGGAATGTAACCACTTTTGACCCAGTTATCCCACTCCTCTGCATATACCCAAAGGACTTAAAATTAATATACTATAGTGATGTGGCCACATCAATATTTATAGCAGCACAATTAACAATGGCTAAACTATGGAACCAAACTAAGTGCCCTTCAATAGATGAGTGCACAAAGAAACTATGGTATATATAGACAATGGAATATTACTCAGCCATAAAGAAGAATGAAATTATGGCATTTGCAGACAAATGGGTGGAGCTGGAGAATATTATGCTAAGTGAAAAAACCAATCCTCCAAAACCAAAGGATGAATGTTCTCTCTGATATGTGGATAATGACTCACAAGAGACAGGGCTGGGGAGGGGAGGAGTAGATTCACTGGAGTGAACAGGGGGGAATGGGGGAAACGGAGTGGGTATGAGAATGGGAAAGACAATAGAATGAATTGGACATAACTTTCCTATGTTCATATATGAATACACGACCAGTATAACTCCACATCATGTACAACCCCCAAAATGGGAAATTATACTCCATGTATGTATGATATGTCAAAATATATTCTGCTGTCATATACAACTAAAAGAACAAATAAAAAATACAAAAAAAAAGAGAGTACACTGTGATGAGCTAAGGGTGTACTTTGTGATTTCCAGAAAAATCACAAAAATATAAAATGAATTATAATTAATCAAATAAAAAATAAAAATAAGAGGGCATGAAAGGAGGACAAAGAGGAAGAGTGTATGGAGAAAACAGAAAGTAAAGAAAAGGTAGACTTTAATCTTATTCTACTCATAATGACAAGTAAAGTAAATGGACTAAACATTCTAATGAAAAGGCAGATTGTCAGGGTGGACAAAAAGGGAAGCTCTAACAATATTTTATCTGTAAGAGATACCCTTTAAATATAAAAACACAATTGGGTTCAGGTAAAAAGATGAAAAATGATATACTGGATAAACACTAGTCATAAGAAAACTAGAAGGACTGTAGTAATGTGAGACAAAGTAAACTTTTATATATAAGGAGTATTTGTAGAAATAAAGACATATAGTTCTGTGTAATAAAAATATCATTCATCACAAAGACAAAAACTGATCAAATTAAAAGGATAATTAGTAAATCCACAGATATAAATATTGCAACAATATTACTGTTGAACAAATAGAGAATCAGTGAGGATATAAAGAACGTGGGATCAACTTGACCTAATGAATGCTTACAGAGTACTCTACCCCAAAAGTACAAAGATTGCATTCTTTCAAATACAAAATGAATATTCACCTGGTAGACTATATCTGTCAGGTAATAAATTAGTCCCAACAACACAGGGTTGAAATCATGTAGGAGATATCACTTGACCACAGCAGAATTAAATTATAAGTTAATAACAAAAATATGGAATATCTACAAGAATTTGGAAGTTAACACACCTCTAATTAATCCATAAGTCAAAGATGAAATCAAGTGAAATTATGAGGGAACTCTGTCAAACTCATTCTACAAGGTCAGTATYAATCTGATACCAAAACCAGACAGGCATATCAAGGAAAGAAAACTTCAGACCAATATACTTGATACACGTAGATGCAAAAATTCTTAAGAAAGAATTGACAAACTGCATACAAAAACTCATTAAAAAGACAGTGCACCATGTTCAAGTGGGTTTCGTCCCAGGGATGCAAGATTGGAAATCACTAAACRTAATTCACTACATAAATAGACTAAAGAATCACATGATTATATCAATAGATAAAGCAAAAGCATTTTACAAAGTATAGCACCCATTCATGTTTAAAACACTATAAAAACTAGAGATAGAAGGAACTTACCTCAACATTACACAGGCTATATATGACAAACCCAAAGCCAACATTATTCTTTTTTTCTTCATATATATTTCTTTATATATATATAATATATAACATATATAAATTTGTTTTAATTAGTTATAAATGACAGTAGAATGCATTTTGACACATCATATATAAATGGAGTATAACTTCATTTGTCTGGTTGTACATGGTGTAGAGTTACAGAGGTCATATAATCACATACGCACATAGGGTATAATAATGTCCAGTTCATTCTACTATCATTCCTACCCTCACACGCCCTCCCCTCCTTCACTCCCCTCAGTCTAGTCCAAATTACCTCTATTCTTACCGCCCCCCCCATTGCGAATTAGCATCCGAATATCAGAGAAAACATCTGGCCTTTGGTTTTTTGGGGTTGCCAAGGCCAACATTATTCTAAATGGAGAAAAACTGAAAGCATTTTCTCTAAAATCAAGAACAAGACAAGGAATAGAATTTCATCCATCAAAGACTGCTTTGCTTGACTCAAGGGACAAAATCAAGTCTCCTAGGTCCCCTTTCTGACAGAATATTTTCATTTGTGCAAATATCTAAAGGTGAGGTCCATGGAGTTATGTAAACAGGGCATTCCCTGGAGCTCTCAACTTTATTAACCTTTCAATCCTCTGAGACACCCAGGGATAATATATACTATACTTGAAAGCACAGATTAAAGTTGCCAAATCATACTCACCCCTTTTTCAAATCTTATATGAATGTTGTTCAAAATGGCATCAACAGATACATGCTCAGGGCCTCACAAGTCATCAACTTCTTATTTGTTCATTTGGTAATTAAATTCAAATGAAATGAGCATACATTGGATCAATTGTGTGTTGACTTTCCTCAATGAGTAACACAACTTAATTTCAGAATTTGTGCTTTCATTTTATGATTTTTTTGGGGGGTGCTGTGTAGTCTCCTGAAGTAGTAGGGTTTAGTTTGGTTAACTCCATCTCAACATCAACATGAGTGTAAGGAATAATAATCAGAGGAGACACAGAGACAAGGTGCAGAGGCAGGAAAGTGGCTGCTTGTCTAAGGGGCCACGTTTATTTATACCAATGGGTTACATTAGGTACCATAACTACATTATTGTTTTGAGTATCTGTAAGGTTGCTTATTCTGCAGTTACATTTCACAGTTACAATATGCAATGGCAGGAGCTTTGTGCAGCTCTCAAGAAAGTCCATTGTCTAAAGTTACTGTTAAGCCGGCAGATCCAGGAGCATTGGAGCTTGGTGAAACATTGAAGTTAACTAGCAAGCAGGTACATTTATTCACAGGAGAATAAATGTGAATAAATGTGAATAAATGTGCCTAAGATCAAGGTCGAAACTGATAAAACTCTTCACACAGAGCTTCCTTGTGAAGAACATTGCTACAGCGGCCAGGCATCCTGTGTCTTTTACATGGAACTTTCCCAGCAGCCAGGCATTCTGTACCTTTGCACAGAAACTTCCAAACATGCCACAATCACAAAGTTATCAGAGACCCCAATCCCAAACACAGAACCCCTACACACGAGAATGGGAGTTCTGAGTGTGTTGATGTATTAAAGTTGTCAACTTCAATTGAACATAAAG